AGCTCAAACCAGCCATTAATAACTTCTGGATCTTCGCACTTAGCCCTCTGGTAGTCGTATTTGCGCTGAAAGCGTGTCTGGAGCTCTACACGCCGCTTAACAAAGTTTGAAGCCCAACGCGACCCAACGCGTGACGCGTCGCGTGTTGCAAGTAGTCGACTTGCCATATCTTCAACAACAGACAGCCGAGGAGGAAACCCTTTGGCAGCTAGGTCGAGTATATACTGAACAAGGACGGACTCCTCTAGGTTAGTTAATTTCCGTGAGTTGGCTTGGATATCGCGTCGTGAAGGTACACCTTCTAGACGACGACCTAGCTTGCGGTGGTCCACAGAATAGATCCTAGCAGCAACTCGAAGGCGTAACTTTGGGTCGCTTTGCATAGCCTGGATAGCTAGCACTAATTGGCTTTCATCGTTTTTATGGGGCATGTTTTGTTGTTGAGGAATTTAACATTTAGTTGGGGGGTTTGGTCACCGCATCATTTTGGCGCTTTCGCTTGTTTGGCGCTTTCGCTATACATGTACGTTATAGATATTAGCTTACCTAGTTGTATTTTTTTAGGCCCTTGTATATCTTTAGTATGCTTTGCTAATAGCCTTATATTCTCTTGATTATATTTAAGGCTATTAATAATCTTCCTCATTTTAAGCCATGGTGATAAATTAGATAAATGTATTAAAGTTAGTATATATAAATATTAAGGGGATATGTAAACTTACTAATATCATTATCTTGCTCTATTAATATTTGCTCTTCTATTTCTGTTGAAATAGATATACAGTTGAACCTGGATATAAGGATGCCCTCGGGACTGGGCATGGCACCCTTATAGCGAGGATATCCTTATGTGGAGGTTCACAGAAATCTGAGGAATATATGTAAAAAAAAAAAAAATTGTATGCTACTTTGACACGCAGCCATCTAGTAAACATTGGGTACTCTTCGCGACTTTCTCTTGCGAGATACCCTTGCCAATCTGTTCTAATGCCTTTATTACTGAAATCCGACCTCCATCTTCAGCGAGGGAAGCAAATAATTGAAGGGTATTCAGCACCTGGCTAGCCATTCGACCATTTCAGTTCATTCCTATGAATAGTATATTGTGGCAGATGGTCCCAAAGTTCGTGCGCCTTAGTTTTTAGGATGTCACCAGTAATGATTGCATTTTTCTTTTGCATGCATTGTTGCCAGTCGAAGAGAGCTATCTCAAGTTCACAATATTCTTCATTACTTTTTTTCTTTGTGCCAAGTTCAGTCTTCTTCCACAGCGTACGAGCAGTCACTTTCAGTCCGAAATGGTCAGGCTGGATTCCGCGGAGCTGGATTAATACCGTTTAATCCTCAAGTGGTATTATCAAAGCTTGATGTCAAGTTACGGACTCCAACGCCTACTAGACCCCCCTCTGCCGACACCGACCCTTGGATTTCTCAGGCGCCTCATAACCCAACCGATGCTCTTTTGCAAACAACTTTGGTAAAGAATCGTATTGCACGTCATCAGGGAAGCTCGCCAGCCCCTATTTTTGAAACAGTTGCGGCGTTGGCGAAGGGTATAGAGCTGTTAGCCCATGAATTGACTTTAGTACACGCTGAAGTCCGTACTCTTCGCAAGGCAAATGAAGCACTTAGCAAATGCCGTAGAGCTAAAAAGACACGTATTCATCAAGGGGGTGTACTTACTGTCGAGGATGCGCACGATATTCTAAGTCAAACTGAGGTAGACGAGCAGATTCGACGTGATAGGTGTTTAGGAGGGGGTGTTCAAGGCAAAGGGAATCTGACCGTACGACGCTGTGGCACTTGTGGAGAGACTGGTCATAATTCAAAAATGTGTCAAGGTACTATTACTATATAACCTTTAGTAGATCCGCAATTAGTTTAGTTAAATTTACTTCGTTGTTGTTATTTAATATTAATTCTTCGTACGAAGGTAGGAAAAAGTTAACTGGGTACTGATATTAACCGGGTACTGATAAACCACGTTATATAAAGCACCCGACATCAAGTGGCTGGGTTAAGTGAGAGGATCAGGTAAACAAAGGGGAGAGGATCAGGTAAACAAAGGGGTATAATGTTGTTGGTCTTGCAATATGCTTGAAATGCAGCTGAATCATGACTTTCGTGTCCATCAAGAACCAACATTCGATAAGGGCCCTTTGCCGTACGAGCAGTGTGCTTGTCGAAGTGCTTTAACCACTCAAGACCCGTCTCATTGTCGGTCCATCCATTGCTTGTTGGTTTGATAGCCCAGCCGTGTGGTAAGCCACCTTCAGTATACCAATGTGCAAGGTGATTAACCCCTTGTACGACAAGAAATGGAGGCACACTTCTGCCCTCACCATTAATGCACACGATTGCTGTAGCCCATTCACGATTGCCAGGCTGAACTGCCTTGCCTCGGCCATGTCGATCGGAGCGCATAACTACCATTCCAGGACAGATCACGCCCATCATAAACCCTGTCTCGTCGAAGTTGTAGAAATCACAATCCAACACCCCATATTTAGCTCTCATGTTTCGTACGAGCTCAAACCACCCTCCAATAAGCACAGGATCTTCGCATAAGGCCCTTTGGAAGTCATAAACACGATTAAAACGTGTCTTTAGTTCTGGGCGTCGTCGTACGAATCGATGCGCCCAGATTCCCAACGCGCTTTCCCTGACGCGTTTCGAGGAGATAGTTGGCCATATCTTCAACACCAGCCAACCGGGGTGCAAATCCTCTTGAATCTAAGTCAATTATATGTTGACTAATTACTTCCTCTTCAAGTTCGGTCAATTTTTGGACAGCTGGTCGTCGCTCACAAATATTCGTACGACCGTTCATTCTACCGGTAAGTGTAGAATAAGGTACGTCATAGATCTTTGCTGCACGAAGACGAGTAAGATTTTTAGTCGTACGAATAGCCTCAATAGCTAAGATGATTCTAGCTTCTTGAGTATGAACAGACATACTTTATTATTGAAATAACGCGTATTGAAGCTAGGGGGTAGAGAAAACGCGAAAAGTTAACCGGGTACTGATATTAACCGGGTACTGATAAACCACGTTATACTAATATGTTAATAGAGTATTAAGAGAGGAATTTAATAACGAATTACCTCTAACACAACAACAACTACTACATCAACAACAACAAGAGAATGAGGAAGATAATTTATTAGATGATTTCGAAAGATGCCATAGTGCTCATTACGCCAAAGTGCTCATTATGCCATTACAAACATTACTTGTTACAAACATTATTTGTTACAGATCACCCTAGCATTAGTATAATGTTAGGGGAAGGATTAGGGAGTTTCTATGATCTAGGATGATCTAGGTCATATAGGATCATGAGGGATTGAGGAGACTCATAATGGCTTATAATAATAGTATGATCTAGTATAGGATCATGAGGGATTGAGCAGACTCATAATGGCTTATAATAATAGTATGATCTAGTATAGGATCCATTTAGCACGACGCTATAATATAAGTAGATAGTTAGTTCTTAGATAGGAGCAAAGCTCCTATCTACTTAACTTAATATAGTATTCTTTACATACTATAACGTGTTACTTAGAAGCCTTTGTGTCTAATCCCCTCCTCCTCTATCGAGTTAAACCTTTACGTAAGAAACGTCTATGCATCCTATCGTTTAGGAAGTAGCGTTACACTATTACCATTCGCGGTTAGGTTGGCCTATCTGCGAATTATGACATTCGTGGTTTAGTCGGCGTATCCGTGAATACAGACGGCAAGATTTTAGACACACTTCCGCCAAAGTAACTTTTCGACTTTTAGCGTTGCGTTGCATTACTCTGGGTAGGTGTTGGTTGGCGCAGTGTGCAGTCACCAACCGGACCGAACTGAGGAGTCGCGTTCGGGATGCAACAAGTCTCAATCGTAATGGTATGTATTGCACGCCGAACTGTAAGAGTTCGGCGATAGCTACAGAATATATAACTAAAGGAGTATAAAAAGTTGAGAAGTCGAAAAGTTACTTTGGCGGAAGTGTGTCTAAAATCTTGCCCTAGAATACAACCTATTCGTGGTTGAGCCGGAGCATATTGATCGTGTGAGCAGAGTAATCGCAGGATCGTAGACGGACTAATCGTCGGTGTTCGCACCGACCACCGATCATCTTACAGGTGGTCGACGCGAACATCGACGATTAGACTCCATTATGAAGCTCGGGGCTTTTACCTGGTTTTCAGGTTTGACAAACTCAAGATGCACAAGAAATCCTTTGTGAATGAAAGATGATCTCCTTCCTCACCCCGCGCCCTGATCCACCAACGGGAAGCCCGCCGTCTGGCCTTACCCGTGATGGTGTCACATTGGCATAGTCTTGGCAGGATCTAGTTCCGAAGTCAGGTGCTCGGCACTTGGCAGCTGGTGCTACAATCAGCTTCATCGTCACCGACAGATCGGGGCCTTGCAGATATCAATACTTACCTTCGCCGGAAAACTGCAAAGTACAGTATAGTATGCAGTGCAGAGTAAGTGAATACGAATACGGCGTTGCTGGCGACTGGACTGCGTGGGAATAACGTGAAGGAAGCAAGCACCCCCCTTGCCGAAATCCGGAGTTTCAGAACCAACTGCCAGGTCAGATACGGCATTTTGTTTTGCAAATAGAGTTGTTTTCCCCCACTTGCAATGCTCCGCCAGCATCACGAAAATGTCAGCCTCTAATTCAACCCACGCGACATGCAGTACCATTCTGTTATTCTGTTCAGAGGATTGAGATCCCAGAAACATGGGTCATCCGGTAAGTTTCAAAGGAACAATGCAACACATCGTCAGGCGCAGATTGCTGACGTGGTACGGCGGTACTACACGTGTGATATTATAAGTAAGCGCAGCGCGCATCCTTCAGTACTTATTATGACAAGGCTTCCCTTGACCGACTTTTAATTTCCTCATCTCACCTTGAGACTTCTGACTCGCTCTGCTTGTGCGAAAGACAAAGCCAAGCGCAGCCTCTTGTCGCATATCTGAAAGAGACAGCATGAAGGTCATGCAGTTTTCAATTGGGAACTCGGCAGCTGTACTGGGCCTGGTTGGCCTAGTTTCGGCCAACCCCACTGGCAATGTAGAAGCTCGCAATGAGGCTGCAGCTGCGGTTGCCGCGACGGCCACATCGCCGGGGTCGACTGCGTAAGTGCGATGCAATGTCTCAATATTCGTAGCCGGTGCTGGGAGTAAAGTTAACAAATCGTTTCCAGTGCCAAATCCTGAAGCTTGGACTGGGCTCCAAAATCTCCTTCCCAAACAGTGCGCCTTACAACGCATCTATCGGCTCGTTCTTCTCTGAACAGAACAATGTCATTACACCAGCCTGTGTCGTGTCCCCGACAACAAGTAAAGATGTTCAAGAAGCTGTTGGAATCTTGAGCACGCTCTCGCTGGTAGGACAATTCTCGGGTCTCACGTGCCAGTTCGCAGTCCGAAGTGGTGGTCATACTCCATGGGCCGGATCGGCGACGATCCAGGATGGAGTTGATATTGACCTGAGTGCTCTCAACCACGTCATCCCCGCAGAGGACAGGAAGACAGTTTCAATTGGACCAGGAAACAGGTGGATTGATGTCTACTTGAAGCTTGATGCTCTTGGACTAGGAGTATCTGGTGGCCGTGTTGCGTCCGTCGGCGTCGGTGGACTCACAACCGGAGGTGGCATGTCCTTCTTTGCGCCACGTTATGGCTTCGTCTGCGATACCGTCACCGAATTCGAGGTAAGACATAAATCCCGAATATATGTTTTGAAGATTGTTGTGCTCACATGCCAAGGTTGTTCTTGCATCTGGTAAAGTTGTCGTTGCAAACGCAAAGACCAACCCGACCCTCTGGTCCGCTCTCAAGGGAGGCAGCAACAACCTCGGCGTTGTCACTCGCATTGAACTCGAAGTTTTCGACCAAGGTAAATTCTGGGGTGGAACCGTCGTTTATCCAATTTCCACAGCTCCGCAACATCTCGCTGCCTTTGCCAACTTCAATGGCCAGAACAGATTTGACGAGTATGGTGCCATTATTAATAGCTATGGCTACAGTAAAATCCAAGGAGGGTGGTTTGTTGCTAACAACTATGAATATACGAAAGCGCAGCAGTACCCACCAGTTTTCAATGAGTTCACCAGCATCCAGCCCCAGCTATTCAGCACCATGCGCATCAGCAACATGTCCGACTTTGGCATAGAGATGGAGGACTCCATTCCTTATGGGAGAGGCCAAATCATGTACACTCAGACATATACAAACGACTTGGAAACTATCACCAACCTATTCAACCAAGCCAACACTTTGCTGCAACCTGTTGCCGACGTTGAGGACCTGGTTTGGTATCTTTCGCTTCAGCCATTGCCGACCCAGATCACGAAGTGGGGTGATATTAAGGGCGGGAACTCCCTCGGCCTCCATGAATCGAGTGGCAATCTTGTTCGTAAGTTGCACCGTTTTCTTGTGTCTTTGCTGGAATCACCTGACATGTAACTAATCGCATTATTATAGTTGCACTTATGAGTGCCTCTTGGCCAAACCCGGCCGACGAGAAGGCAGTCACTGCGGCTATAATTGACACGCTTGCCAAGGCCAACGCCTTCGCCGAGAAGAAGGGGACCTTAAATAAGTACGAGTACCTAAACTACGCACACAAGACCCAGACCCCGATCACAGGATACGGAGCCGAGAATGTGGCGAAGCTAAAGGCGGCTAGTCATAAGTACGATCCTCTCCAGGTGTTCCAGAAGAGGGTGCCCGGTGGATTCAAGCTGTAGAGCGGGATTGGCGAAAAAGATGATTTACTTTCTTATATGGCTTTATGTTTGCTATATTTGTCACAGACAGAGCGTTAGACGCGGAGCTTTACACTCGGAGCGTTATACTTATGGCTTATCGATGTTTGTTGTGAATTACAAACATCGATAAGCCATAAGTATAACGCTCCGAGGGCTCATGACTTTGCTAAGTGCTGAATTTTGATTTCAGCACTTAGCAAAGTCATGAGCCCTGTTTTAGTCGGCCGACTGTGCGACAGAATGTGATGATGGTAGTGAACCTATTTCCACCGAGATGAACATAGGGCGTATGAAACATCGGCTGGAGACGGCTGGCAACGGTCATGTCTCTCTGGGGCTCGCGAGAGAGCTGGAATATAGAAAAGGAATGCAAGGTGTGCAGCCCTAGAGAAATAAATATCGTGATACCACTTTATGGCTGTCATACTTGAGCTCAGCCATCGCAAGGGCCTCGACCCATCTTATTTCAGCCAATTCTCCGTTTTCGCTCTGTGCATTCCACCTTCGCTCTCTGGTATCTTTCTCTGCCATCGCATGAATTTTGGCGATTCTAGCTTGCAGTACCAGCTATTTACTTGGGATAAGTGTTGATCTGATATTATAACTCATGTGATAAGCATATTATGAAGCTCAGATAACGTACCCTTAGGTCCGGACAGCGCTAAGTAGATCTAGGCCTGTCAAACCCGCGGAGTTGCGGCGCTTTACGTCTGGAGTTGCATGCCAAGACATGTAGTTTGACGGAAACGGCGATGTTTAAACGATGGCATTTCGTCATAAGCCTATGGAATGGAACGAAGCATACCAACACTGTGCTCCTATCGGACCTATATCTGGCTGCATATGGCTGCATGCCTTGCATGGCGTTCCTACTGGACCTTACTTCAGAGGCCGAGGTGACGACGTTGAAGGGGATGAATCATATAATACACGCGCTCTATTGAGATCCTTCGGCCAATATTTCGTCTTGATCGGCACAATTTATTGTGTCCGGTGCGAGTTTTACCCCACATTGATTAGACCCGCCGGCCCCACTAATACAAGGTCAGAATTAAGCTTGGTACAACCTGACCTTCGTCGCCAACTCCGAACATTACATGCGGAACCAGTTAGCTGCTGACAGTAACTGGTAGGTCACGAACAGACTATGCTAGTAGGTCATTAACATCAATGTGATAGATTACTAGGTAGGTATTTAATTAGGTGCGTGCCTCTCGTGCCTTGTTCGATGTTTTGTGATTTTGTTTCTTCAGGAGTTGTTACCAGCGTCTCTCGTTCGTGATGTTAGCGGCTATTTTGTATATACTGTCGCTATTTACTGTCTCTGTGCTTGCGCTTCCAGCTGAGCTAGATGTCAACATTGTTGATCTGGGTTACTCTTCGTATCAAGGGACCTCTCTCGAGAATGGTGTATCGCGGTGGCTCGGCATACGATATGCAGCACCTCCAGTAGGAGACTTGCGATTTAGAGCGCCCAGAGATCCCCTTAAGACCACAACTTTACAAAAGGCAGACGCAGTAAGTCTCTTGCGCCGTCCTTCGATTTTTGAGAAACTGACGTAAGTGTGTCTTTACAGTTTGGCGATGTATGCATCTCGACGACTGCACCTCCCAATACCCCCGGGTACTCAGAAGACTGCCTCTTTCTAGACGTGTACGCCCCTACAAACGCCAAACAAGGGGAACCACTGCCGGTTTTTATTTATATCCAAGGTGGTGGTTTCAATTCGAATTCCAATCCTAACTATAGTGGCGTGGGTCTTGTCAAAGCCTCCGACAAGAATATTATCGTCATCACTTTTAATTATCGCGTTGGCCCCTACGGATTTTTGGCTAGTGATGAAATTAGAAAAGAAGGCGATTTTAATGTTGGATTGAAAGACCAGAGGAAGGTGTTTGAGTGGGTGCAAAGACATATTAGCAACGTACGAATATTTCCATTCTTTTGGCCTCTGGTAGCCCAGCTAACGGATGAGCAGTTTGGTGGAGCAACTAAACATGTCACGCTCGGAGGAAGCAGTGCCGGGGCAGCATCTATCAACCTTCATTTGACTGCATATGGCGGTCGTGATGATAACCTGTTCCATGCTACGGCTGCGGAGAGTCCGTCTTTCGGAGTCCAGTTTACGGTTAAAGAGAGCCAATACCAATACGATGCTCTAGTTGAACGTGCTGGTTGCAAGTCGGCGTCTGACACTTTGGCTTGTTTACGAAAGGTCTCGGAAAGAGATTTGCAGGCTGTAAATTTCAATATTCCAACACCAGGGGGGACGGACGATCTTCCGCTCTTCATGTACTCAAACGTTGTTGATGGAGATATCACAACCGATTTTACCTATAATCTTTTTGGACAAGGAAAATTCATCAAAGTCCCCGTAATTTTCGGGTATGTTCCCTCGTTCATAGTTTCATTCTCGCCCACTGACGAAAGAGTAGTGATGATACGAACGGAGGTACAATCTTCGGCCCTATGTCGGCCGACACCGTAGCCGCGATGAACTACTTTCTCCGCACACAATTCCCCCTACTTACAAAGGAGCATCTCGCGCGCATCGATGAGTTCTATCTACAGGGCATGAAATACCCAGGTGCTGGTCGCTACTGGCAGTCTACCTCCGACGCCTACGGCCACATGCGATACATGTGTCCCGCAATGTACCTCAGCGCCGTGTACGCCAAGAAATCGATCCCTAGCTGGAACTACCGCTACAACGTTGAAGACCCTGTCAGCAAAGCCAACGGCCTTGGCGTCTCGCACACGGTTGAGGTGAATGCGATTTTTGGGCCCGAATATTCGCGCGGCGTGGCGCCGGCATCGTACTACTCGATAAACAGAAATGCTGTTCCCTTGATGCAGGGATACTGGACAAGCTTTATCCGGACCTACGACCCGAATGTGTTTCGGATGGAGGGGAGCCCAAGGTGGGAACAGTGGGGCGGGGGGGAGGGGATGAATCGGATTCGGCTTGAGACTAATACTACGGCGATGGAGGTTGTGAATACGCACATGCAGGCGAGGTGTGAGTTTTTCAGTAGGATTGGCCCGTCGATACACCAGTGAGAGGGAAATAAATTTTATTAATGGATTTTTAAATCATCTGATATTGTCTACATGCTCCCAGGGGTCCATATTCAAGTATCGTTATCGTGAAAACTAAGCATTATAGTTAACTATGACAACGACATAATCAAGCTACAGACGGCATTCTAAAGCGACCTCTAAGATGCCGTATCTCAAACTGACTCGAAGCGACAATCTAAAACACCAGTGTATTTTGGGAGCACGAAATTACTAGACCAATTGAGATATCTCGATAAGCCACACGAAATGTCTAGCACCCTCTCGTACCACTCGCGCCCTCGCATGCGGGACCTGTGAACTTATGGCTGCGCGTATTAGAGACACTCGAACTCAAAAATGAATCGGTCTTAGTCCCGTTCGACTTCAATAGAAGGTGCTCATCCGTGAATCTTAATATCGTGCCTAGGCTTGACGGCGCTGTATTGGAAACTGCTAACCTTGGTGTGCTTGGTGGTACCGCGGACAGAATGGACGTTGATACCGGAGATCTCAAATTTCGAGGGGGGTGCAGTTTCCGGGGCCAGCACCACCTTTGAATATCATGCACTGGGAAATGGTGGAGGGTGGGCCACGGCCACTTCCGGACCGGTGTCAGAGAAGTGAAGGCCCTTTGGGGCCTAGAATTTGTGTCAGTAGTGCATGTTAGAGACAATGTGGTCTAATAATAAATGCATTGGAGCGAAGAAACGGAGAACAACTACTTACATCCGTAGCCGCCTCCTCCCCAATTTAGAGGGCACCCAACCTGTTCACCTGTCTATGTTTTAAAGTATGCGACGTGTAGCTTGTTTAAATGTCAAAACTCAACACGTTTATCATCTTGAGTGGTATCTGGGACGTATTGTGACATGATATCCTCAAGAATAGCATCCCCCCCTGAAAATCGTCCCACACCTCTAACTCTTGTATATCCTCATCGACTGATTTAAAAAGCTCAAAAGATCCATAGTGTTATGTACATTCCCAGCTTGTTGTACTCGTTGATAGAGATTGGTAATATCAGGAAGAGGTTGTGAGGGTAGTTGAACTGGCTTTTGAACAATCGTACTCTTTCGAAAATTGTTATAGATTGTCGAGTTTGTAAGGTCGTGATTCCAGGATCAAAGAAGCCATTCAATAGCAAGTGGTATATTCATCGTTTGGACAGGATCTTCATTCCTTTCAAAAGTGTCAAGGATGTAAAGGAGCCATTGTCGACGGTAATGAGCTTTGACAGAGGCAATGATACCTTGATCTAGGGCTTGAAATCGACTTGTTGCATTGGGAGGAAGCCAGATATATTCGCAGGGGGTGGTGTCGATTCGAGGGCCTTGATATGTGCTGAAAAGTTGTCCATGGTGAGAAGAACCTCCCGTGTTGTACCAATACGAGCATAAAAAGCCCTTAACCATTCTGCCATAATAAACTGATTCATCCAAGCCTTCTTATTCCACCTCCAAACCCCTCCCATTGCTATGACGTCGATGTTTCGTAAAGCTCAAGGCGTTTTCGCCTTGCCAATAAACCAAGGAGGACATCGATCAGTACCAGCAGCATTACAACAGAATACAACAGACATCCTTGCCTTGTCCATCTTCCTTCCTACTCGAGCCTCCATTGTAGAAAGCCCACGAGATGGCATCATCTTCCAGTATAAACCCGTCTCGTCCATGTTATAAATGTTGTCCTCTAAATACTCCCCAGCCACTGTCTGAATAGCCCTCATCTCGTCCTCATCTGTCTCACTGACTGATGCCCCTTCTCCTTGCCTCTTTCTATTCCGGATGTTGTGACGTAGTCAAAATTTTTGTATCCAAGCAATGCTAAACTATGGCGAAGGCTTCCCTTGATATTGTGGTAGTTGTGATCAAATTCGCTTTGCCTTCTCTGGTAAGATCTCCGCAGTTGTAAAACCTCCTTTTGAATCGATTCGTTCTTGCCACTCAAAAAGAATAGCCTCAATATCTGGCCAAGCCACTTCCTGTTGACGTATATTCATATTGTTCCTCTTCCCTATTGTTGGTGTATTAATCGGATCATTAAGGTTGATAAATCGGCTGCTAAGGGATTCCGAGATGTAGATTGACTAATTCGAATGTTGTACTTCTCAAAAAACCAGGCAATACAATCTTTTTGGGAAGGTCGAGGTGTTTTGTTGACGGTCCATTGTCGAAGAGCACGACGCTGTTCAATAGTCATCAAATTGAGCTTTCTTGAAGGCATTCTATAAGATTCAAAAGATTAGCATAAGTCGATATTCAAGGAGGATCTCACGATATCGGATGTATTGTGTTTTGTGTAATGACACAGGGCACCCAGCTCACAGTAATAGCATATGAGAGTGCGAGTCGGAGGCTAAACGGATGCTATCCTATAGGTCTACTACGAAGGATACAAAAAAGACGATGGCGGAACCCCGTGAGTAGATTGTCTCAAGTACGCGAAACCCATCCGACTCGGTTCCGACTCGGTTAGCCCACCCAAATTATGACACGTGATCCTCAGCTACCCAGAGTCTACTCCCTACAATGAGAGACGAGAAGGCATGTGTACATTATTCTCTTATCGTATACTATTTCATTATTACAGCTATCAAATATGCCACAGAAACAGCAGATACGGCTTGAACAGCGATGTGCTTTACGGGCTTGGGCACATAAATAACACCCACGACCTTCGCAAAAGGCGTGTATTGAGTGGTTCCAACAGCAGTATAACCATAAGATCAGTGAATCAAGTGTTCCTGAGTCTCTTTCATTACACTTTGACAGCATTGATAATACTACAGACAGCAATCGACCACGCCTTCACCTTGGGCAGTGGCCAGATCTTGAGAAGATCTTAATCCTTTGGCAGCACCACATTGAAGAGAACGGAGGAGTAACTAGTGGAGAACTTCTTTGACAGAAAGCCCAGCAGATCTGGCAGCAACTACCTCAATATGCCAATCAAACTTGTCCCGAATTCAGTAATGGGTGGATCCAGAAATTCAAAAAAAGACATAACATCAAAGAGCACACACAACACGGCAAGGCAGTATCTGTTCCAGCAATAGCAGAAGAGGAGATGAAGGCCCTACGAACATTGGCAGGGGAGTTTCAAGAGGAAGATATATACAATATGGATGAAACAGGATTATTTTGGAAGATGACACCATCGAGGGGGCTTGCAACTTATACACAGCCAGGATTGAAGAAGGAAAAAGCACGAGTCTCTTTAGTACTCTGTGTGAATGCAACTGGAAATGACCAACTAAATGTCTAGATTATTAGCAAAGCAAAGACCCCAGGAGCTCTAAAGAATATCAATGTTGCAACTATAGGAGAGCAATGGAGATGGAATCAAAAAGCATGGATGAATACAACAGTGATGGTCGAATGGTTCCAAGCTTTCTATTTACATATTGGAAGCACAAGGCAAGTCCTCTTAACAATGGACAACTTTTTAGCACATTATACAGTATTGGAATTAGCACCTCCACCTACATTATACGAATCTGCTGGGTACCTGCTAATTCAACAAGTCGATTCCAGCCTTTAGATCAAGGAATTATTCAGTCATTTAAGGCCAACTACTGTCAGCAATGGCTGTCTTATATGCTAGAATGCTTTGAGGCAAATCAAGACCCTCTTAAGTCAATAAATATACACCTTGCAATTCACTGGATTGTACGAAGCTGGAACCACTTCCTCACAAATACAACTATATAAACCTGCTTTCGCAACTCTTGTCACTTCGCCAATCTCTCTTCCTACACCACTCAATCCACCAAACATATCAGCTCTCTATGATCAGGTAGCAAGGGCTGAGAATATACATGATGTGATGGCAATTTCAAACTTCCTGAATCCAGAAGAGGAGGTTGAAGTAGAAAAAGAGGGCGAAGCAGGTCAAGAACAAGTCTTACAAGACTTGATAGCAGAACATTTAGGTGTCTGCCAAACACAAGACGATGATGAAGAAGAGCAGCCTGAAGAGCCTGCTACTATATACAAGAAGCTCGAAAGGCTATGCAGGTTCTTATTAAGTTTACTGAAGGTAGTGCTGAGCTCCATACAGCTCATTTAAGAGCAATTGAGCGTCTAGAGCATGAATTAGAGGCACTGTACCTGAATAGGCATGCTCAAAGCACTTTAGATACATGGATTATATAAGCTCTAATAATACGATTTATTCGATGGACCAATAATATTTGGTAGCACCAATTCAATCATCTTAAAGAGCTTATACTGTATAGAAAGATCTTGTTGGAGCCAATCGAGCCAGATCTCTCCTCCTTAGGTATAGTAATGGTGCTATCTGTATTCTGCGTCGCATACGAAATGCTTCCACTGCTCACCTGTTGTGCATATTTGATGGCACGCACCATGTTACGCACGATGAAAAGCACGCACATGACATACAGGCCCCAGAAGTACTTCCTGCTCATGGGCCAGTGTGATGGAACAGCCAGATAGACTTCATGCTGGGCATTGTGCACATGGATAGCCATTAGGACGAAGAAGGCAAAGGCAATAAGCTGAAAGATTAGGCCCCAAAAAGAATGGCCTTATTTCCTAAGTCGATGATATTAAGGTCACCTGAGGCATGGATGCCTGCACCCATGAACTGTTTGCAAATAACATTGATAAGGCTGTAGATGCGTGTGATCCAATAGAGCGATTCAGCAGTTCAACAGTCGTCGGCTTGACACTGCCTAATCCAGTGATGCCAAGCAGTACTAGAGTACTACTAGATTATATTAGTATTAGAGCAATAGAATCCTTGTTTAGTACTTACCATACCTCCTAATTAGGCAATATCAAAAGTTTGGTGATATTGACTGTATTGATCGGTGTAAAAAAGTTGGATTATGATCGGTCGTTAGATAATTCTCCCCTTCCAGCCATACCCCCTACGGCGTTCCCCTGGTTAGTCATGGAAAGTCTTGGAAAATGAGAGAACTACACTCCTTTAGCATAAATAGGATTGCCCTTTCCTAAGAAAGGGCAAGCAGATAAGACAGTAAAGCTTCCAAGCATTGATCTTGTTATTCTTTGTTTCTGAAAAGTCAGTGAGGTGCTAACCTCTGACTTACCCCTGAGTTCTCAGACTCAACATTTGTTAGAACTTGCCTAAACCACTTCACTACATCATAGACCTGATTGCTGCATTGTGGAATAGTCTAAGCTACAACCCTTTGGCACTGTTTTCTAAGACAGTGTGTTGTCTTAGTAAAATCATCCCTTCCTTGGGTGGCTAGATTCTCACATCTGGTGCACCCACCATTACATTAAGGCTCTACAAGTAGTAAATGAACAGAAAAAGAGGAGGGAAAGGAAGCACAAGAGGCGTATAATGCAATGAGGTAGTGTCTCTATACAAGAGGGACAGGATATCCTTTAGAGTGCTAAGGTTGATGCTTAAGTCTGTATAGAGGTGGCTAGTAAGAGTAGTTAGTAGGTGGGCTCTAAGGGATGACAGAAGCGCTATGGCTTATGTGGTATTATAGGCTATAATTCCTGTATGTGCGAGAGGCATGAGGATTTAATTACAATTAATTAAGAGTCATTATGTAGGGTGGTATTATGGTAAGGTAGTAATAGTCAATTCTAGTGGTTTTGTAGGCAACTTACTTGTGCAGGCAACTTGTGTAATGCTGACTTCTAAACGATAGAAGACACAGAGGTTTCTTACATAAGGTTGACTTGACAGAGGAGGCAGGGGATTAGACACAAAGGCTTTCTAAGTAACATGTTACAGTATTGTAAAGAATACTATATTAAGTTGAGAAGCTCCTATCTAAGGGAATACTATCTACTTATATAGTGGTGTCGTGCCTCATGGGTAATCCGGATAGTTGATGGATAGCTAGATAACGTAAGTCGTGGCATACTGGCGGTAATGGCATACTGGCGGTAGTGGGGTTGGAACATCGTGAACAACAAAAATAAAATTATATATACTCTAATCCTCAATTAAAATACAATTAGATACTTCTCCTAAGTCCTCTTTAATAGATTCTTCATCTCCTTGCTCAATTATAGCCTTGTTTGCAGTTCTACTACCTGTTGCTGTTGACTTCTGTCGAATAGCCTCCTCTGCTTCAACGACCTGTAGCTGCAATTCCCTTGTAGAAATATGAAAATGACCCTTTAAAATTGCTCGCTTGCCTTTTTGCTGTACTCTCCGAGCTTGAACAATTGATCGTAGATTGTCAGTATCACGTTGTTGTAGAAAATTGCGTGTATTTAGTCGCTCTGTTGCATCTGCTAACTTTTGAATGTATCACTTTGTAGGTGTGTTTAACACTGTATGGGCTTCAAGAATAGTAGAGAGTACTGTATTTGCTTTCTGTAGTGTTGTAAAGTCAGGTGGGCTACTATTTTGAAAGACAGTATCAAAAATATCATGTCGTTGTGGTGTTTGAGGCCATTGTTCAACTTCAATAACTTCTTGAAGTGTCACTGATTGTAGTCCTGCTCCTCTCCATGCTGAAGTGATATTTTGAGTTGAAAATTCTAACTCTCTTGCTGTTATATATGCAGATAGCCACTCTGCTTTTTGCACACATAGGAGTTGTGCTTCATTTAAATGTGAAAGAGCTGTTGTAAGCCTCTTTTTCAATGGTCCAAAAATTGCAACATCAAGTGGCTGTAACACATGTGAAGTATGTGGCGGTAATATAAGGATTGATATGCGATATTGTATACAGTGAGAAATGAAATTCCCACTTATGTGTCATACTGACATTCGTTGCACTCAGTTTGCTATCAAACTCAAGAGCAAACTTAGAAATCTCCTCCTCAAACCTACAAGTCACTTTACATATTTTGGCTTGTCACACCAACAACAAGAGCAATACTACTCAATGATTGCTACAACCATCTATGATTCATTACACGTCATTTCTCCTTAGTTACTGGGCCGATATGACCACATAGCATATCTCTACAACCCTCTATGATTCATTACATGACATCACTCCTTAGTTACTGGGCTAATACTACACATGACATATCTCTATCAACTAGAGGCCTAGGAACATGAACGATAGCTCCAAAAGCTTCTACAACTGTCTATGATTCATTACACGTCATCGCTCCTTAGTTACCCACAAGATTGGTTAAGTTATGACATAATCTGTCTATAGGGATACTCTGGCCTTGGATCTCCTTTCTGTCATATAATGCAGTTCTTAATGTGCTCTGTTTGAAAGTTAAGCTCCCTTATTGTTTGTGGAATCTTTGAAGTCCAATTGTCACTATCAACTATAGGAGGAGTTGGAGTTCTTAAGTGTAGATTTAAGTAAGAAAGGACATTCTGTAGCTTGTATAGAACTCATCCTGTTGCTCAGAACCCACTCTTAATTTTCTGCTCTATAAATGCAGCTTTAAATGCTTCTTTAAATATAGAGAGAAACTCAAGCTTTGTGATATGGTTTAGCCAGTTCCGTATGAAGGTTTGAATCTAGCGCCTATATGAAGGCTTTAGTAGAGCAAAGCAGCTAACTGTAACGCTGACTTCTAAACAATAGAAGACACAGAGGTTCTCTTGCGTAAAGGTTTACTTATCAGAGGGGGCAGGGGATCAGACACAAAGGCTTCAAGTAACACGTTACTAGTATATAACAAATACTGTATAGAGTTGAGCACGAAGCTCCTATCTAAGGAAATACTATCTACTTATATAGTGGCGTCGTGCCTCATGAGTAATCTGGATAGTTGGCGGATAGCTAGATATTCAGGATAGTTCGTGGATAGCTCAACTATCCAATATCCACTAGTTTCTGCAACTATCCATTAGCCCCGTCACATGGCAGCCTACCCCGCTTCCCACTGTGACTCACACGTCACGTTATGTGACTCACACGTCACGTTACTAGGCCCTGGCCCTGTAACCATGACATCATGTTACTATAGCCATAACACTAGGTCCTCCTCCAAAAGGCCTAGTCCCTTAGGTCTTGCTGATTAAGGAATCGCTTACTTAAGTAGGGTGATGCCCACTTAATTGTCGAGCAGGTTGCGCTGCTTACCATGTCTTCTAGTAGACACATAAAAATCAAAGAACGTCATCTTCTTGCAGACCGTATTGAAAAGAACGGCAACCTAATGTCGCCATGTTCCAGCTGTCTTCACAACAATCGATTCTGTATCGTTGTTGCTGGTAGTCATCGTTGTAGTGAATGTACTCGTCGCAATTCCAAATGCAACGCTTGCGCCCCTTCTCCAACTGATGGGAGAAGCTTCGAAAAGAAGAAGAGCGTCTTGAGGTAGAAGAGGAAGCGGCGGCATCTCAGGAGTGAGAGGCTCACCTCTGCGCTCAAGAAGCATATGCCCGTCGCATGCGTCTTCGCAAACAGCAGAAGGCTCTCAAAACCCGCGGTGTTGAGATGCTGCGTCGTGGTCTGAAATCTTTGGACGAATTGGATGAAGCAGAGGAGAAGGAGTGTAGGGAGGCAGAGGTCAAAGGGACTCTCTTGCACAGCCCTTCTACTGCCGTTTCCGAGGGTGCTGCCCCTGACCAGGACCTTTTTGTGGCCCTGTCTCCTGGCTTCTTTGATCGCTTGGGTGTCGACGGCGAAACGCCTCCAGTAGCTCTGGACAGCTAAGGTTTCTGACCGTTTCCCATGAATTGTCCGTAGGTTCATAACCCTTCCATTTTATCAAAAACTCTTCTTTGCGTCCTACTAACCTTCTGTCTAGGATCGCTTCGACTTCGTATTCAACAATCTCATTCTCTGGTTGAAGTTCTGTATCTGTCGCAATTGGGGTATTTCCTCTTGCTGGTTCCAGTAGTGAGACATGAAATACCGGGTGTAGTCTAGACTTCTTGGGTAGCTGCAGTCTGTAATTAACTGAGCTGACTTTGTTCAATATTTTGAATGGTCCCAATTTCTTGAAGTCCAACTTTGTACTTGGTCGTTTCGTTTTTGTAAGGACACAGGGAATACGGCTCTCCGTAGGTGCATATGGGAGTGCGAGTCGGAGGTGATGCTGTATTCTATCCTATAGGTCTACTACGAAGGATACAAAAAAGATAAAGGGGAAGCTTACAGCTTCCTACCCCTTAAATATCCGTCTCGGGTCCGACTCTAATCAAGCTTAGCGTACCCTCGGTACTACTTAGTCGGTAATCCGAATCGACCCCGACTCCAACCCCTTTGTTGCTGTACTACTATGTTATCTACTGCGCGTCCCCTTAGGGGTCCGAATGCACCCCGTGTAAGGAGGCATCCTTACATTACCCCCCGCCTTAAGGAAGTGCTTTGTCCTCAATGCACGTGGCATAGTATCGCGACCGAGGAGTGTCCGAGTGTAGGCCCTAACCGTAGTCTTTGTTATGGGAAACGTATGGCTGAATGCGTAAATTGGGAGTGGTGCTTTAATCGTAATAAAGGGTATTTAGGCAGGTCCGAATGCACCCCGTGTAAGGTGTCCGAGGGTAGCAGTAAGCGTCGCGAATTTCTCAGTTACTGTGCGCGCGCTAATCCGTCTCAGAGATTCATTGTTGTAAGCGGATGTTATGAAGCAACCGGTTCCGCCCACATTTCGAAGCTTCTTTTACCACAACAACGCTCACGAACCCCCTCCCGAGAACAGTAAGTGGCCCCGTCTGTTCGAATATTGTATACTAACTGATTGTTTCATAGAAACAAAACCAATACCCAGACGATCGCGTAGGTGATGGTTGCGCGTCGACGCGCGGGTGATAACTCCTGTGGCTTGGCTGACGGTTCCGTAGGAACCCATTCCGCGACGATGCCGGTGCCCCCTCCTCCCGGGGCCCTTACTGCAGCCTTCCGCACTTTGTGCATGCGCTGCGTCCGCCGCAAGGCGAAGGTGGGAGCGGGCGAGCCCGCCCACGACTGTGTTTGGAGCGCCTCGAGCTCCAAATGCAACCACTGTGTGGGCCAAAAGGCCAATTGTGTTCCGGTGAGTTGTCGGGTGGCCTACGGGCTCGTGTTTTGGTTTCTGTGGCTGACCTTGTGGGGATAGATGGCCTGGTTCCTAGCCGACGAATACCAGGCGATTGTCGACGCCGAAACGTCAACCAACCCCGATCCCGCCGCCGCGAAGGCTGCTGCCGCGGAGGCAGTTCGGGTGGCCAACCTCACGGCCGCCAATATGCCGAAGTTTCGCTCTCCGGCCGAGGCTTCGGCCTACATGGAGAGCATGGCTCTCCGCAACGCCGTCGAGGACGGCCTGCGCGTAAGTCTACCCCTTGTGTTATGTCTTGTTTTGGAACTGACGCTGTGAAGCGTGTCCGCCAGGCGGTGACAGCGGTGGGGAGGGATACGGCCGCGCTCCTCGAGGGGCAGGGCTCCTTGCTGGAGGGCCTGGAGTCCTCCCTGAAGGGGGTGGGGAAATCGGTGGTGGCGGCGGTGGACAAGGTGTCCGTGGCCGTGGCGGCGGGGCCCCGCGGCCAGAAGAGAAAGAGGGGGGAGGAAGATGGGGATGAGGCGGCGGAGGGGACGTTCTCCGCGCCCATTGGATGAGACTCTGTGTCGGAGGGAACTCGGGCTGGGCTCTTCGCGTGGGGTCGCTTCGACCCTTCGTCTCACATGGTGGTAGCCGCTTGTTGCGACGCCGGTGGGACGTTTGGGAAGGGTGGCTCCCGCAAGAGCCCGGGACGAGTGTGCCCTGGCTCAGAGGGTATTTAGTTTAGATTCGTGGGTAGCAACGAGTCTGTTTTTTCTGCTTTGCCGTGCCTTCCGTGACCGTAGCTTGGCCCGCCCGTCTCCCATGCCGTGATCCATCCGGGTAAGTCCTTCGTAAGGTGTTGCATAGGGTAGTCGGGGACCGGTAGGGGGTGAAGGAAACCCTGTTGCTTCGTGACATTGGTGTGCGATAGGCGGCATGTCATGCAATTGCGTACGTACCGTGAGCAGTCCGCTTCCATACCGACCCAATGATACTTTGGGGCGAGCAACTGGTAGGTCTTCCTGCCACTTGGGTGTGCGGTCGACACTTGGTCGTGTGCCTCCCGGATGAGTTTCGTACAAAGCTCTGTGTGACGGTTCACACATAGGCGGTCTTTGTACAGGAGGAGTTGGTCGGCTAGGGCGTACCCATCCGGTAGGGGTTGTTTCGCGCGTGTCTCGGCGAACGACTTCCGGTTGCCTACGCATAGTGCCTCAATCAGATCGAAGGGCATCTGCGTTTTCAGGGGGTCGATGGCATTAATCGATGCTACATAACTGTCGGCCAACTCGGCACTGATACGGGGGTGTAGGCGGGCTGGGCCAAGTAACACCCTCGCACGACTGTCTAACTTGACTTTTTGCTGCATTACAAGGTCTTGGCCTCTTCGGCTTAGAATATCCGCCTTCTGGTTATTCTTACCTGCCGTATACGTAATGTGGAAGTTGAAGTCGGAGAGTAGCTCCATCCACCGTACCTGCTTCACGGTGAGAACCTTCGTGGTCATGAAGTATTCCAGCGATCGGTGGTCCGTATAGACGTCCACCCGGTGTGTCACCGAAGCCAACTCGGGTCTCCATTTCGCGAACGCTTTCACGATTGCGAACAGTTCTTTGTCGTGGATCTCCCAGTTGATCTCGTGGCCGGTTAGTACGTGGCTATAGAAGCTTACTGGGTACCAGAGCTTGTCCGGGTGCTCCTGTGATAGCACGCCGGCGACGACTCCGTCTGAGGAATCGGTCTCCAGCTTCGTAGGCAATTCGGGGTCGAAGTGGTGAAGTGCCTGGACTGTTAAGAGTTGTCGTCGCAATTCCTCAAAAGCGTTCTCACACTCCTCAGTCCATAGGAACGGCTCCGAGGGGCTTGTGATAGTGGTTAGGGGCTTGGCTATTTTCCCGAAGTTCCGTATGAACTGGCGGTAGAAGCCACAGAAGCCTAGGTAAGACTTTACACCGGTGACGGTGGTTGGTCTGATCCAGTTACGGAGTGGTTCGATCTTATCAGGGTCCGCTTCCACCCCGGAAGTGGTCAGTATGTAACCCAGGTACTTCGTACGGGTAACGTCAAACTCGCATTTCTTAATGTCGGCTTGGAGTCCGGCTTCTCGTAGTCGCTGTAAGACTTTATGTACATGATCTACGTGTTCCGAAGGGTCTTCGGAGTATATTAGGATGTCGTCTAGGTAGGCAGTACAGAAATCATCCAAGTACGACATGAGAACGTCGTTCATGTACCTCTGATAGGTTGCGGGACCGTTGGTTAGGCCAAACGGTAGCACTTTACATTTGTAGGATCCGTAACGAGTCCGAAAGGTCGTGTACTCTTCAGAATCGGGATGCATCCGTATACGATGGAAAGCTTGTCGGATGTCGAGCTTCGTGAAGATCTTCGCTTTTGACACCCGGCCGAGCAATTCATCGATGCGCGGAATGGGATATGGGTCGTTACGAGTGAGGCCATTCAGCTTCCGGTAGTCGATACAAAATCTCAGTTTCCCATCCGCTTTCTTAACGAATAGTATAGGCGATGCAAAGGGGCTATCGCTATTGGCGATGAAGCCCTTGTCGAGGTGCTCCAACAGGTATTGCTTAGTAGCCTTTAGCTCCTCGGTGCTTTGTCGGTAGAGCGGTGAAAAGGCGTTTGGTAAGGGGGCCTCGAGCTGTATCCTGTGATCGTATATGCGGTGTGGTGGAAGGCGATCTGATTCCGACTTCGAGAAGACGTCGGCATAGTTTCGATGCACAAACGGGAGCTTCTCCTGGATGAGTGATGTCGTCTCGTCGTCCTCTTCCGATTCTCTCTGCCGAAGGATCTGATCAATTTCATATATACTAGCCTGGAAGAACTCGGCGTCGCTCCGCATCATCTCATGATAGAAGGCATTCGCACTAATCTCGCAGATCTGCACCGGTGCAAACCCATGCGTTGGCGTCCTCTTCGGTGGTCGTGACGGAGGATCCTCCTCCTTCCGAGGTGTGCTGGGTGGGGAGTCGGTGATTTCTTCGTAGTCCGAAATTATCACTTTCATTTCCATCGGGCGTCCGCCTGCGCGGCCTCTGTCTTCGTGTTGGATGGCGGCATCCCTACGATTCGCATCCGACTGGTGTGCCGGATGTCGAATGGACGTTTCGCGCGAGTGGTAGGGCAAGGTGATCTCCTTGCTCCAGCTAGGAGTTGGCGGGTACTCCTTTGGCCATACTAGCCGGCTCTTTGCAGAGTCGAGTAGTATTCGGAAGCGGCTGAAAAGCTTCCTCCCAATTATCACATCTTGCGCTCCGAGGTCCAGGAGCACAAAGGGGCAGTTATATATTCGGCGTCCTTCGACTGTTAAGTGCAACCGAATATACTCCGATACGTGACTTTGGATTTTTCGCTGAAAACCACGTATGGGTACAGAGTAGGGCAGTTTCCGTATGGGGCTCTGAAGCGCCTTCGACAGTCGTAGTGCGAAGGGCTTGTTGATGACGAGGTATCCGTTTGCTCCTGTGTCTGCGAGAGCCTTCGTTTGCACACCGAGTCCATTCAGACTCAGCGTCGTGTCGACTAAGAACTGGGTTCCGCCCAAGAGTTCTTGTAGGTCGAGATCTCGCAGATCACATTTGCGTAGACCTAGGAAGGAGCCTTTCCCTAGGCCTCGTCGTTTTCCTCCAGGGACGCATCCGATTGGAGTTCGACTGCCTCCTCCCACTGCTCTTCGGGTTCAGGCTTTCGGATGGCCCTGCGGTCGTGCCCGCTGTGGCGGTTTGCCTAGTTGTCATTCGTAGCGGTTGACCGTCATTGTCGGGTGGTGGGTTTTGTGTCGTCTTGCGCGACATCTTGATTCGGGGGTGTATCGAGTCGCAGTCGATACGGAAGAGTTTGACTTCCGGTAGCTCGTAGCTATCAACACTCTTGTTCACAATTGCCTCTGTGCTTGAGGGGGTTCTTTAGGATCTCGTATCCTATTCGGCGCCAACGCGTCGGCGACTTTACCAGCTTGCTCTGCAGGATCAAACCCTGATCCACTGGCTGTCCGTGAGTTCTCTGGGGTCACGGCTATTTGGAGTCATCAGGTCTCTACTTCGAAATGTCACCGAGTCGCGGTCGGTGGTGTTTCGACAGTTCTCCTGAGTCGTTCCGGTTGTGGGATATTATTTAGGTACGGCCGTCCCCGGCAAGCGTGATCTTTTTTGTATAATGTAAGGACACAGGGAATACAGCTCTCCGTAGGTGCATATGGGAGTGCGAGTCGGAGGTGATGCTGTATTCTATCCTATAGGTCTACTACGAAGGATACAAAAAAGATAAAGGGGGAGCTTACAGCTTCCTACCCCTTAAATATCCGTCTCGGGTCCGACTCTAATCAAGCTTAGCGTACCCTCGGTACTACTTAGTCGGTAATCCGAATCGACCCCGACTCCAACCCCTTTGTTGCTGTACTACTATGTTATCTACTGCGCGTCCCCTTAGGGGTCCGAATGCACCCCGTGTAAGGAGGCATCCTTACAGTTTTGATATGTTTCCGGAGTAGGTATACTTTATCCCCATCCCTGAAGGCAGGTTCCATACTGCGCTTCTTGTTTGCGTATGCGGCGGACCGTTCATTTAAGAATTGGATGTCCGTCGCAAGTTGTTTGTGGAACGATTTCAGTTGTTCCACCACGATCAGGGCTTGTTCAGCTCGTGATTCATCCGGTCTTGGTTGCCTATATGCTTCTGGCTGGTAGCCGTAATTGGCAAAGAATGGTGAGACTTTCGTTGCTTCTGTCATCGCGCTGTTATATGCAAACTGTGCGATGGGTAAGATCTGAACCCAGTTATCCTGTTGATGATTGACATAGCTTCGTAGGTACTGTTCAAGGGTCTGATTTAATCTTTCTGTTTGGCCGTCTGTCTGGGGATGAAAAGCTGTTGACAGCTTATGATTTGTTCCCAGTAGCGCCATCAATGATTTCCAGAATTTCGAAGTAAAGAGCTTGTCTCTATCTGAGATGATTTCTTCTGGCATCCCATGATTGGCTAATATGACTCGAATGAAGGTATATGCGAGCGCCTCGGCGTCGCTAGCTTCTAGATATGGTATAAACTTCCCATATTTCGTGAGTCTTTCCGTGATGACGAGGATAGAGTCGTATTCTATTCCTGTTAACGGGTCCTTGGAGGGTGGAAGCTTGACGACGAACTCCAAAGCTATTGATTTCCACGCTCCTTTTGGTACTGGTGTCGACTTGAGTTGTCCGTATGGCAGATGCCTATTGGATTTTGACTTGCTGCAAATGTCGCACTCTCTTACCACTGTCTCTACCTGCTTCCTCATACCTGGGAAGTAGTAGTGTCGGGTGATTCGTTCGAAGGTTCGTGTTACTCCCTGATGACCGTGTGCTGGTAACGAGTGTTGTTCTTGCACCAGCGGGCGTCTCATTTGACTTGGGACATACACTAACCCTTTGTATCAAATCAATCCCTGTTCATCGATGGCGAAGTCACCTTCGACTTTGCACAAGACTCGCTTGGCGCATTCGTCTGTTGCGTAAGCTTTCTTGAGTCTTTCCTCGAGTTCTGTATCTTCGATGACTGAGATCGTCGCTAGTAACTC